CACACACACACACACACACACACACACACACACACACACACACACACACAAAGGGGAGCTGCAAGAACTATGAAAGGGGTACCCCAAGGACAACTAAAAAACTGTCTAATTATAAAATTGCTTTAGTATGTTGGACATCTCAAATGCCCTCGTTGTCTGCAATAGGACAAAGACTGCTTTGATTCTGAATCTATTCATCGGGGTGGAAATTGGGGCTGTTGTGGGGAAATTCTAAAACACGCACACACACACAAACAAGAAAACTAACTTCAGCTCCCCCCATTTTTTTTTTGGAGGCCCCGCACGGCCTCAATTTTTTGTTTTTATGTTTTTGTGGTTCTTGACGCGACATCCCACTCGGGCCTACAACATCCCTTCCCAACCTTTTTTTTCCCTCTCGACCCCTTATTTTCGGGGTGCGCCACACCCAGTGAACACGCGTCGTGCGCTGTGCGTGGTGCAGCGCGTGTGCTCGGTGCAGTGCACGTCGATGCGCCGCATGTATGTTTTATTTTTGATTCAGTTAAACCACCACTACCTTTCAGAGTGGAAGGGTAAGTTGTAAATATAACCTATAGTATCTATACCGCATTCTTTGGAGGCTGGCGTAGGCCGGGCGCCACAGGACCAAAATGGCTGGCGGCACCAGCCAAAACAAAAGGAAAAAGGTTGCGCTGGCACTTCAGCAAGAGCTTGGCGCGCAGTTGTACTCCACCTTGGCAAAAAGAGGCTCGGAGGTAGTGGTGGTTTAAGGAATCAATTAAAAATGAAGGGTCCAGCTACCTATGTCAGATGTCCATCCTACGCAAACTGATCATCCGGACAGAACTCCAACAAATCATATTGCGGAAGAGATGGAAGTCTGACTCATATTTTTCGGCTTGTTGATCCGTTCAGGGCACCACTCAATGAGCAACATACTGATCTACACCTACAAAGTTAGTAGCCAGATTTGTGAGATAGGTGCCTTTTCTGACTTGTTCAGATTACTCATACGGTTGGGTGCATGTTTGTCTGGCAGGCAGCCGTGTACGTAACCTTGGATTTCTTTTCCCTCAATTCTTCCACATCAAGATTTATTGCGCCTGACATGTGGTCTCAGTGTGTGATCCCAGAGGACTCAGGTTCGCTGAAAAAAGAAATCATGTCGATACCTTTGTCGTCTGCCCTTCGCTGCGATGTGAAATCAAAGTTGTTATGGGTAAATAATCCGTGAATTTGGATTTTTAGCATCACTCTGGGCGCCTGACACTTCTGGCCATCGATCCGCATTATTCATGCAGGGAGACATAGAGTCTGAGGATTACTCAGAGCCCAGGGGAGATCTTCGGGAGTGGGTGGCTACCGAGAACGTGCGAAGATGGATTGCCCGTAAGTTCCGCCATTTCTTAATGTCGCATACTGACAAGAATGGTGAACTTGACTACAAGCAGCGCGTGGATAACATGTGCATGGGTAAGAGAGCTTATCCAAGACACCAATGATTTGTATTCCCCTGGCAGGCAAGCCATAACCAAGGGCAAGTGTTTTTTCATGCTCTGTGGTTACTCCCCACTGTCCCCAGTCTAAAAGTTCATTCCAGTTGAATCACACAGAGTCATCTGTGTCAGAGAGGCACTGAGGTTGAGTGGGACTGGGAACACCAATGGGAGTTGTCCACACACCAGCGCTTGGGATGGTGCCACTGCGCTGTCACTGAGGAGCATGGGTGTCTTGGATGCGTGGAGGCTAAGTTTCACAGACATATGCGCTCGACAATGTTGTCCTCTGGTCTTCTGCATAACATCACAGTGGATCATCGTCATGGCAAAATGACCAACAGTACCCAATGGGGACACGTAGGCCCGTAGGCTACCACATCCTGGCCGGGCATGCCCAGGCCAGGCAGGCAGGGAGGACCCATGAGGGAAAATTAGGAGGGTTGAACAAGGGCAAGAAATTGTCAAGAATCTAGGCTACCAGAGTTGCCCGGCGCACGCAACCTGGGCAAACCTGCCTGGGGGGGACCCACCAGGGGTACCCAGGCGACAGCAAAAAGGTTTTTTTTTTTTTTTTTTGTTACGAGGGCAATTCTGCACCTCTTAGGTGTGCCCACATCTGGGACTTATCTTTGAATTTGTTGATGTCTCACAAAAGGGTGTCTATAGGGAATAAAGTACTATAAGCAGTGTTCAAAGGGGCTTAAAGGGGCTTAAACTACAACTACCTCTCAGGTTGGAAGGCGAAGTCGTAAATATAACCTATACGACATTCTTCGGAGGCCACAGGAGGCCGGGCGCTACCAGACCAAAAAGGCTGGCGGCACTAGCCAAAACAAAACAAAAGATGCCGTGCTGGCGCTTCGGCCAAAGCTTGGCGCGCAGATCTACTCCGCCTCGGCAAAAACAGGCTTGGAGGTAGTGGTGGTTTAAAAGGGTGTGAGACAGGGTTGCATCGGCGCCGACCGCCGACCCCGACCGCCGACTGTTTTGTCCCGACCGATCAGGGCCGTCCGGTCGGCGGTCCGCCGACCACTCAGAAAACAGGCATCCGCTGCTTTTTTTTTTTTCTGATTGCGCAGCCTTATTGCGCTCGCTGAGTACAGCCCAAATCCGCGGAGAAACTTCTTGGGATGCGGGAGGGGTATGGGGGGTTGGGGTTGGAGCATACCTGCGGCACAAGTGTGCTGGTCGCCGATGCGCGAAAAAAAAAAAGAAAAAAAAAAAGAAGAAAAAAAAACCGGCTGTAATGTGTGAGAACACGCAAAAGAGAGAGAGAGAGAGAGAGAGAGAGAGAGAGAGAGAGAGAGAGAGAGAGAGAGAGAGAGA